GTAATAGCCAGAACCTGGAAACAACCAAGATGCCCTTCAATGGAAGAATGGATGAAGAAAGTATGGAATATATACACGCTAGAGTACTATGCTGCGGTAAAAAACAATGACTTCTCGAATTTTGCATGCAAATGGATGGAAATAGAAAACACTATCCTGAGTGAGGTGTCCCAGACCCAAAAAGATGAATATGGGATGTACTCACTCATAATTGGTTTCTAGCCATAAATAAGGACCACGGAGTCTACAATAGGTGAACCTAAAGAAGCTAAGGAAGAAGGTGAACCGAAGGAAAAACATATAGTTGTCCTCTTGGCTAAGGGAAGTAGACCAAATTTCCGGGGAGAAAATGGGATCTTGGGGGGGGGGGGGTAAGGGGAGATGGGGAGAGAAAAGGTAGAAGGGAAGGAGGGGGGACCTGGGAAACGGGAGAATTGGGATAAAGGAAAAGTGGATAGGCGAGCACGGAACCACAATTCTTAGTTAAGGGAGCCACTTTAGGGTGGGCAACCGACTTGACCCTAGAGGGGCTCCCTAGTGCCCAAGATGAGGTTCCCAGTTAGTTCCTTGGGCAGCTGAGGATTGGGAACCTGAAATGACCCTATCCTAGAGCAATACTGACGAATATCTTGCATATCATTATAGAATCTTCATCTGGTGATGGATAGAGATCGAGACAGTGACCCACACAGGAGCACTGGACTGAGCTCCCAAGGTCCCAAGGAGGAGCAGAAGGAGGGAGAACATGAGCAAAGAATTCGGGACCAGGAGACGTGCATCCACCCACTGAGACAGAGGAGCTGATCTACGGGGAGCTCACCAAGGCCAGCTGGACTGTGACCGAAAAAGCATGGGATAAAACCGGACTCTCTGAACATGGCGAACAATGAGGGCTGATGAGACACCAAGGACAATGGCAGGGGGTTTTGATCCTACTTAATGTGCTGGCTTTGTGGGAGCCTAGCCAGTTTGGATGTTCACCTTCCTAGATATGGACGGAGAGGACCTAGGACTTAACACAGGGCAGGGAACCTGGACTGCTCTGTGGACTGGAGAGGGAGGGGGAGAGGAGTGGGGGGAAGGGGAGAAGGGTGGGAGGAGGGGGAGAAGGGTGGGAGGAGGGGGAGAAGGGTGGGAGGAGGGGGAGAAAGGTGGGAGGAGGGGAAGGGAAATGGGAGGCTGGGAGGATGTGGAAACTTGTTTTTTGTTTATGTTTTTTTTCTTCTTTTCGCAATAAAAAAAAAAAAGAATGGAATCACTCTGAATCATTATTTCTACTTTGTATATATACTCAAAATATCTATGTAAACACAGCAAAGACACATTTATACATTTGTGTCACTGCTGCAGTGTTCACATAAGTCAAGCTTTGGAACAAATCTAGATGACCATCAACAGATGAGCAGATTAAAAATATATTAATACGCAATGGAGTCTTAGCTATAAGGAAGTAGATCCTCTCTCTCTCTCTCTCTCTCTCTCTTTCTGAGTGTATGTGTGTGTGTGTGTGTGAGAGAGAGAGAGAGAGCAGAGTATAGATGTGGTCAGGAAGGGATTAATCAAAACAAAAGCCATATTTTTTATTTGAATGTTGTTTTGTCTTTAATAGTCTTGCTAGGCAATCCACAAAGTTTTCCAACTCTGCAGCTCAGACTGACTTCTTTTTCTTAGTCACCGTATCAGTTGTTGGTCTTACAAATACGTTTTGAGAAACCATACCAAGATAGTAGCATTGCTTTGGCATTTATTTAACTCTATAGATAGCAATATTAATTATGATATTTATCATATGTCCTAATGTTGTATTATATTTTCTTTTTTAATAAATTGAATTTCGCTGTTTAAAATCACCATTTTAATTTTTTGAGAACCAAATGATTACTTTTTTAAAGGGAAACTCATGGATTTGCAGGGAACTAAATAGGTCATCAGTTTTTATAGAATTTTATTTTTAAATGGATGAATATAAAGTAGTAAATTTATAAATATAAAGTGGTTATTGATAATTAAAACATTAATTGTTCATATATTTTATCTACTTTAATAATATTTTCATTGTGCATTATAAAAAAAGTCCTTGCACATCATGAGGATATTTTAAACATACTTTTTCTATAAGTATCTTCAATATTTTATCCCTGTTTGAGCTATTTTTTTAGTTGTATTAATATTGTCTTTTAATGAGGAAGAATAAAAATTATTTTAATGGAACTAAATTTATCTGCTTCCTTATGTCATAGAGTATGTTTTGATTTCTCTGAGGTTTCCGAACAGATTTACTATCAGTGAAGATAAATAGATATCAATAAACATGTTTGATATCATATGTCTTTGGAATAGTTTTTAAATAAAATAGAAGATACCCCTGCTTACCTCTGAGAGTAACTGAAGTGCAGAACATTGACATAAAAAATGAGTTCTGATCTGGAAGGTTTAGAAGCCCTCACTGCTGGTAGACTAGGAATTCTAAATAGAATAGCTACTTTGAAAAAATTTGGGTGGTTACATAAGCAACACGTCTCCTCACCACACTGTCTAGCTTCTGTATTACTATGTATATACCCAAAATGGTGGAATCTTGCATACACAGCGAAGCCTCCTAAGAAATGACTGTGATGGCTTCATGAAAAACTGCAAGTATCTGACATGTCCCCTCCTGAGTGACTGAATAAAAACACTGTGGTCTTTATACAAAACACCAGGCTACTAAAGTGGGGCTTTTAGCACACTGTGCTAATTGCAGCACTCACTAGAAAGGCAACACTGAAGCGAAATCAAAAGGGTCAGTGGGTGCTGGGTTCTGGGGACAGAAGTTTTAATGTAAGGGACTTTGAGGGAGGCAATACTGATTGGTAGAAAAGATGACAGATATGAGACTGGTCCTTGAGCAAACACACAGAAATACATAACACAAATAAAGCCTGTGTATATCAGACCCTATCAGTCCTCGTGCTTTGATAAAGACTGACCATTTATACTGAACATTCCATAAGAAATATGGATGTTCATAAGCCAAAGTCACTGAAGGGGTGGGCTGAGCACCGCATAAATATATATTCTTCCTGCTCCCTACTTGGCTCTCTGTAACACTGAAAATCACACCAATTCTCTTCGAAATTCCATCTTTCAATTTCATTGTTGTTATTTTAGGAAATTAATTGACATCTTAAGATCTCACTGAAATTCTGAATAAATGCATCGAATCGTCAACAGGCATTTACATAAATCCTGACATCAAAATTATTCTGTCTTTAGGAAGGGCTCCCCTGAGCACTGCTTCTAGATGTTGAAGCTTGGCATGGAAGAAAACTAAACGGGACACCGGAAGTTAAAGAAAGAAAAGGAAAGGTGGTTTATTTAAATCTAATTGTCATTTTCACTCTTTATAAAAGACACTTTTTGGATGTCAGACAAGGTTTAGTAAATATGTTTTATACCATGAAGGTAAACCAACAACCAAACAAAACCAAGCACTAAACTGATGGAGTGAGTGTTGGTTAATTCTAGGGATTTGACACAGCAATCCATTGGCATCTCTAGTGCGTGCGTGCGTGCGTACGTGCGTGTGTGTGTATGTGTGAGACAGAAGGGCTAAGACCAGAAGTGTCTATGATGTCTCCTGACTCTGAAAATTATCATGTCTTATGAAAGAGAAAGCCTGAGAATATCTATAAAATAATATGCTCATTTTTGAATTAAACAAAAGTGTATGTGTAAGAGTATAATTGAGACTCTGTGCTCTACATGAGGGTCGATGACTTCAATGTCAGGGGAAAGATATCAGATTCCTTGAGCTGAGTTACAGGCTGTCTTGAGATGCCATGTGGGTACTGGATACTGAAACCAGGCCCTCTCCAAAAGCAGCAAGTATTCTTAAGCACTGAGGCATTTCTCCTGCTCAGTATGCTAGCTTTTAAGAATCAGAACTGGAATGGTATCACCATTTACAATCATTTTCAAAATCCAGGAAGTGTCCCAGCATCCTTTTGTAAGGACAAGAGACAAAAGGAGAACTTTAACTTATTTGTTCACACTTTTATGACAAGCACCCACATCTTATTCATGGGATGAGATAGGGTTCTTTAAAGACACACCCGTCAAAATACTTTTCTCAAGCATTACAGGAATCACACATCAAAATAAATATTAAAAATTTAGCATTTGACTGCCCATACTTTGTGTTAAAATATATAAAATTATTAGTGTCAATTCAAATTGATCATTACACATTAAAAGAATCGCAATATTATAAGAACTGCATTGTTCATTAAGAATAGGCCCTATAGCTGAAAGTTATATTGTGTTTTTATATGGAACTTATAGGTGCTTAATATATAAGTATATAAAACATTCCTTCTTATATGAAATTAATGTATTAACCAAATAGTAAATTTATTATTTATCAAAACATTATTCATGTACAGGTAAGGCTTAGAAATCCTTTTACAAGTTTTGAATCAGCAAATCTTGTTGGTGTATACTAGGTGAACAATATAAAAATAGTTGTATGAAATCAATTTGATTTTTTTTATGTACAGTCTTTTTTTTCTTTTTGCCTCAAAAAGTGACATTTATTCAAAGAGAGAAAAAAAAACAAAAACCAAAAAAATCAAAAACAAGATGTCCTTCCCTTGGCTCCCTTCCCTCCCCCCTCCAGCTGTTCCTGAGCCCCCCAGGACTGAACCCTGGCTATGGCCAGGTAGCAGGACAGCCCCTCAAATGAGGTCAGCAACATTGAGGGGCATCTCTTCAATGGAAGTGTTGTAGAATGTCTCAATGTCTCGAAGAGTCCTCTTGTCCTCTTCCGTCACCATGTTAACGGCCACACCTTTAAGGCTAAAGCGACCGCCACGGCCAATTCTGTGACTGTAGTTTTCCCTGTTTGTAGGAAGGTCGTAATTGATGACTAGGGAGACCTGCTGCACATCAATGCCTCTGGCCTAGGTCAAGAAAGATGCTAAGAGCTGTCAGAAGGTAATCTACCCAGACTGACTAGGCGTACATGTGGGCAACCAAAGGCAGGCAAAGGCAACAAGCAACCCTTGTTCCCCAGACCTCAGGCATGCCAGATATTCTTCCAAGTTTTATGTACAGTCTTAAACCATGCACCATCTTCAAGCATAAAATATAGAACTTTTAATCATATCATAATAGCTGGTTTGCAGAAAGATTTTGTACTGCATCTATCATCAGCTTAATGATTTAAAAGTATATATAATCAAAATCTCTCATCTATTCAAATGATCTTTGGCTAGAAAATTTTCTAGTGCTCTTATATTTTTAACTAAAATTGTGTTTCTATTGTCTTGGCATAAACTAAGAATTGTCAAAAATCATCTCTTTTTACAGTACTTAATATTAGCAAACAAAAAATTGACTTGTAGATATAATACTCTCTACTTCAGCTACTGTGCAAGACATGTCCACCTTGTATTTGAAACTAATGAAAATGAATCCACAAAATATACAAATCAATGCCTCTGAACTCCAGGAGAGAACTCCCTACCCTGCCTGGTCTGGAATGTGCAAATCATCTGTGGCTCTTAAGACGATAATTACAGAAACTCCCTGTGATCCCTTGGCTAAGTCTTAAGTATAGTGTGCTGAAGGTGGTACAGTCTGCAGGAGGCTCAAACTGCGTAATGCATGAAGCTTTAACTTTGGCGTCTGCTTTGACACTATTTTATAGAAACCACAGAATAATCAACAAAACTAAAATTCATAAGTATTCACTGAATTCACAGAAATCTAAGTGATATGCTTATCACCAGGAATTAAAACACTGAAAAAAGTTATTTGTTCAAATTTTAGTTGTAATTTTTAGAACATATCCTGACTCAGTCTGTAATGTATTTAATTTAGACTTTACAATAATCCAAATCATTGATAAGGGTTTATAAAATCTAGAACTTTGTCTCCTTCTTGGAGGTGGCTGACTGGGGAATGTACTTCATGATTCTTTTTACCCTGTTACAATCTTTGGAATCTTAAATGCTTTAGCTCTCAGAAACTATTCCTCAAGTAAATTCTAAGATATTTTTGCAGTTATTTGACTTTGTATTTTACTATGGAAATTATCATGCTTAATTTGCATCTTTAAAGCATAAAGCTCACATATAGGCTTCAAAACACATAATATTAAACGTTGCTTTGCATAACATATTAACCAAAAGACTTAGGATCATGTAAAACAGTCTTCTAATTTTATATACATTATATATATATATATATATGTTTACATTTCATGATGCCTTTATTAAAGATAAAACATCAATAGTTTAAGCAATATTTTTAACATTAGAGATGTAGGTCATTTTGTTAAAATAATACTAGGAATTATTTATTATCTATGTGTTTGATTAAAAATACATAAGGAGAAGTATGCACTAAATACTGAATAGTAGAAGGAGAAAGGTATAAAAACATACTTGAAAATGATAAAAGGATATTTTCTTTGGTAACAGTGGTCTTGATAGTCTTTCATCCTCAGTGTAACAGAATAATAGAAAATTGTATGACAATATTCTTATTCAGCTTTTAGCTATTGGTCCTTTGATCTCTGGAGTATGTATTAAATTTTCTAATTTAAAACATGCTAAATAATTTATAGAAAATAGCAACAGCTATACACACCAAATATTATTTCTGAAAACTGATTGTATTTCAAAAGATGTTTTTCCATTGATTGCAAGTATGTCCACTTTAAAATATGAATTTAATTGAATTTTTAATTTAATCAACTCAAAGCTATGAATTTGGTGTTCTTGAAAGAAAGAGATTAAAGATGAATAGGGAGAGGAGGTTCCCATCCTGCCTTGCCAGTACCTTTCAGATTTCACCTGAAGGGGCCACCCACTAGTTCTCTGAACAATGCTTTCCACATGGTTATTAAATCCCATGGGCAACAAAATAATAGGCCAGTGTATTTCACTTAGGACTTTCTTTAGGGTTTTTTTATGGAAAGTCAAACATGCTGTATTTTTCTTACAATAGGGCAGTAGGTATATTGAATTTGATAAAAAATAAAACAGAACTGCTACATGTATCAAGTTGTAATTTTGACTTTAAAATCATTTTTCATGAAGAAAAAAACCAAAAAAAAATTTCTACATGCTAGAAAATCATCATGAAAACATTCAGGGGCCGAAATAAATATATGCATGTACACAGAGCTAAGAATTCATAGTTAAGAAGTGTTAGCTACATAGACACAAACTATAGTTTACCGCGCGGGGGGGGGGCGTTAATTAAGTGAAGAGTCATAAAATTATTCATGAGTCTGTTTGAGTTGCATGATGTAATATTGTCTTCACTTTGGAAAAGCCATTGTTTACTTCTGAAGGGAATTACATAAACTTTCGTAACTTCTTTTAATAATCAATTTTTGCAAGATAAATTTTGACAAGGAATGACCTTGGGAATATTTTTTATATCAGGAACAAATATTTCATTGCAACTGGTTTGACCATTTCACATTGCTGTCATTTAAATACAGAATTAATTATTCTGACACCATCCAGTGAGAAAAGAAACAATTATAAATTATGAGGCACATACTAGCTTTGAATCCCATCGATTGCAAAATCAATAAGATTCTAATGAAACCACTCCACATCAGCCAGGTAAAAAGTCCAGCTGCCAGAGAGATAAAGTGTCAGAAACGATCAGGGAAGAACAAGCAATCAATGAAATGTTAGTGGGAAAACAAGCTTTGCTCTCTATCTTCAACTATGCAAACATCAGCAATTTCAAAACCTCCAGAAGTGCAACTGCTGATAATGACATAAGAACAGAGCTGATTGCTCCTCCTGCCTGTGGAGAAAGCTTCAAAGTTGGTTGATTACAGATAATCACCCCATTCATGAGGTAATGTTGACTCCTTTCTATTTGTATTTAACCTTATCTTAATAAAATGTATAATTATCAAATAGTATAATCACACACACACAAACTTCAAACACTCACTAAATTCTCTGTTGCAGTTGGATGAAATAACCACACTATCAACAACTATTTCAAAGTTACCACCATGAACTTTGTCGATTGATAAAGAATAGTCATTGTAAGTATGCAGTGTGTTAAGTACCAGAGATTAAGTTTATCGGCTCAGATAGACTGTGGTCACCTACAGGTGAAAAGGGAGTCAGAAACAGGATGTCTTGGTATTTAAGACATTTAACAACTTTTTCTTATTCGAATTTCAGAGAACTCAAACAACATATCAAAATTTTAAATGTGAAAAAGGTTGAGAACTTAAAATGATTGAATTGTGGAAGTTAAAAGAAGTGTACATTTGGGGCTGAGGAGTCTCATTTAGAGATGATATGACCAGACCTAAATAATGTGCAGATTTTGCATGAGTGATACAGCCCAGGTGAGGCTCGTGGCCTCTGAGACTAGAACAATCTGCTTTGTTTCTTTTCTGACTTTTTGGAGATTGAGTATCATCCCACCACCCATTGCAGAAGAGCAGAGAACTGTGACACAAACCATCTCCATGCAGCTCCATCTAGTTCATTCTACATGCATTGACCTATCTAGAAATGCTATTTGCCAGACTAGCAGTCTGTGCCAGGGCAGTTCTACTTTCCATTAACTATTTTTCAAAGTAGTTTATATTGATACTCTTTTGAGCTATATTTTCCACATTTCCCAAAAGCAAGGAAGCAAACTAATTTAGCAAGCTCATTGCCTAACTGTTGTTTGGAGTTCAGTGTATGGGTTAAAGTTTCTCCAATATCTCTGTTACAGTGGCACTTAGAAACTAGACTTGCATAGACTCACTGGGTAATTGGAGAAGGAATGGGGACTTTAATTTATGATGTAAGTAAATAGTAGACACTGCAAAAATAGGACTTCCCCCAGGGCAGGGAATCTGGACTGCTCTTCATTCTCGAGAGGGAGGGGGAATAGAGTGGGGGGAGGGGTAAGGGAGTAGGAGGAGGGGGTGATGTGTGCGAGGAGGGGGAGGGAAATGGGAAATGGAGAGAAGGCAGAAAACAAAATAATAAAATAAAATTTATTCTCAAAAAAATAAATGAATGCCCTTTAAAAAGGAGAGAGAATTTGACAGCAGGTATTTCATGGGGAAAAGTCCAGGAGGCCTCAGACCCAACACAGAATACTACTAGCAAAAGCAACTAAAGTTGAGAGCAAGAGAAATAATTTTCCTCTGGGAAGAACTCATCAATTGCTTTTTCAATAGCAAATGATCACCCTGGAAAGCACATTTACTCCAGTTTTTTACAGCTTAAATATTTGAGGTCTTTGGATTGACATCTGAAGATGTAAATATTATTAGCTCCAATGTTACATGGTTTAAATACCTCTATGGTGATTAAAGTTTTTATTTATTCTCTAGTACAACAAGTATGTTATGGATAATGGCTTAATGAAGACAACTACACTGTTTTATCAAAGAAGATGCAGTTTCTCAGAACAATAGCTTATTCTTAAATGTGCTATGTAATAAGTTCTCTGTAGAGAGGAGAAATGACATTTAAATAATGTATCCATAAATTTCATAAAGGTCGAAATCAGTATGTCTACAAGGACAACATTGACTAATGGGAAGTTGAGAAGCATGAAAAAGAGGGTCTTCAACATACAACACATAACCAAAAAATTAATAATTTTAATAAAATATGAAATTTATCATCTTGATTATTTAGTACATCTTAAACACTTAACAATTTATCAACAGTACTTAGTGACTTTTAATATAATTATATAGCTCAGGGCATGAGATATGGCTCAACATTTAAGAATACATACTATTGTCAGAAAAAGACCAGAGTTAGGTTTCCAGCACTCAACTCATTATAGCAACCTGTAACCATCGGTCCAGCTGATCCAACATCTTCTGGCCTCAGTGGATTTATAGTTCACAGAAATTTAGGTAAAATGGCCAACTAAACATGGACAGAAAATGGATTACAACAGAGAGAAGCCCAGGAGTCCTCAACCCCACACAAAGAACTAGAGCCAACTAAAGCATACTGAAAGCAGGAAAAATTTTCTCCATGGAAGATCAACTGCACTAGTGGGTTGTACAACAAATGATCATCTTGGGAAATATACATGCAAATAGCATGATGCAGAAGGTTGTA